TGTCGACAAAGTAATGAAGCTGATGTATCCTAGATCTAACAATTACTAATATAGAAAAATTTACGATATATCTTATTGTGTTATATTTTTTTAATTGCGTGCAGTATTGATCCCGTATCCCTCAGCTTCAAAAAAGTTACATATATACTGAAAGAAAAAAATATCTGGAACACGTATTTAAATAGAATAAGCAATTGCTTTCGCGAAAAATTAAGTTTCAAAGAAAAGGTATATTTCTCATTTAAATAATATTTTATATTAGTTTAAGTAAATATGTCATTAGTATACTTAACGAATAAATATTCCTTATTTCTCAGATATTTTTTCTCTCGGTATATAAAGTTTTTCTTTTCTCTTTGTTGATATATTTCCAAAAACAGTAGCTTTAGTGATGTTGTTCAGAATGTTTGTGTGTATCGCGCGATTAGATTGTGGAGGGAGTGAGGAGGGGAGGAGGAGGGAAGGGAGAGAGGGGGAGAGAGAGAAAGAGAGAGAGAGATCATATGTCCATGCGAAGAAACGATTACTTTCTCATGCATCGATACTTGTCGGAGGGAACTCCGGCTATCGATACCCCAGTATAGGGCCTAAGTACCGTAAGCATCCCCGAAGCAGACGGTTCCCGCTCTCGCGTCCGACGAGACGCGACCGTTCGTCGCGTTGCGAACCTCCGTGGGGCTTTTACCGGAGGTATGAATAAAAGGGGGCGCCAAACTAACCAGCCACCCAACAAGGAGCAGGTGAGCACCTAGTCGCCCGTAACCCTGGCACGAGCTACTTGCCTCACGGTTGAGGAAGAGGTGCTCAATGATCGTCGCGCACGGTCGACATTAATTCGATTATCTCGCGCTCTTTCAGTCATCTCCCCCATGTCTGAGACTATTTATCAAGACAACAGAGACTCGTCTTATGTCGAAAATCAATCTCAAAGGTATAGTGATTAGAAAAGTGATTAGGAAATTTTATTAATTGAAAAGTAATTTGGGAGATATCGCAATGTAATTGATGCATTCGTTCGATAAATCAATACGTGTATTCGATCCGTGTATATATTCGGGAATGTAAATAGCAGGTAAAGAAAAGTTTAACTGTTTTTTTTTTAGGGAAAATTGGGGAGAACATTTTTCGACCACATTCATTACTGGGTTTCGCGATGCTTAGTTAACGAATCCTCGGGCTATTGAATGCATAGATCGAATATAATGGAAGATTTGAATAATAGGATGCATTATATGCAGTAGGTTGCTAACAGACTTCGGGATTTAAACGGCTTAACCAGCCATGCGCAACAATTCAAATAGGACGGCCTTTGTATCTCATAGAAAAAGTAGAGGTTCCTTTACAATTAGCAGAAGATTAAAAGATTTTTAAAAAATTTGGCAGCGTTTCCTTAATGATATTTCTCGTAATTAGTACAATATTTCAGATAATTGTATAAAATAAAAGTAAAAAATACCTGAATTGATCGACGTAATATTGTAACAATAATAATGCAAGTATCACGTATATGAAGTTGACAAAAATTAATATATTCAGGTATTGAAAAAAATATATAGGTCACTAATGGGTCGTGCAAATGAGAAACACTGACATTTGAGACTGCGAACTCGGCTCGCGGGGTTCGGGCCGAACAAATCGCTGAAGGACGGGGAAATCCCTAACGCGGAACCCACCTAATCCCTTTCCCTTCCCCTTTCCCTCTGCCCATCTGAACGCAAGGGGGAGGGGGCGCAGGCTCTCACGTTCCACTTCATCAATATCCATTTTATCCGTAATCAACTTGACGTCCTCCATCCCGCCCATCCCGTTACTAAAAAAATTCCACTAATATCGCGAAGTTTAGCGCTAATTACTGGCGCTATTAGGATGCTAATCGACCGAATAAGGATGCTACACATTACGTCGATACAACGGTTTTGTCGCGTTTTTATTGCGTTCTGTTTAAAGCGTTTCTGTAACTGCCGACATCCGCATAGAAGAGCAGGATTTGCTGTCACAACCGAAAACTTAGTCTAGCAAATCTATAGTCGTAATATACAATTTGCTGTGTTACAGTAACTAAGTCGCAGAGCTGCAGAAGATTTGTGATTGCACATAATAAAGTTTGATGATTACAGCATGGCAGATTTATTAATACAACAAAGATGTTTTTACACTACGACTAATGAAAAATATAGTACATGTAATTAATTCTTTTGCCGTTATATTAACTCTAGAAATCTAAACATGTGTAAACTTTAGCCGGACCAACTTTTTAAACATTACCGTTCTTAAAAACATGTGTTCTGTTTCTTCATTATAACTTTTTCCAACTTTATTGGTTCGCAAAAACATTAATAGATTCACGGAAAAAAAGATCTGCTACATATGGACAACTAAATATAATTTGCTGTGTTAGCCACTTTTTCTTTGCTGCAGAAGCCAATTTCCTTGCTATGATAACAAGAAAATCTCCTGCAACAAAAAAAGTAACTTATGTTTAATTAAAGCAGTAAATTATGTTTAGTTGTCCATCTGTAATTTGCAAACAAATTTGCTACGTTAGCCATTTTTCTTGCTGTAGGAGTAGATTTTCTTGTTATTATAACAAGAAAATTTTTCTTGCAGCAAAAAAAATAGCTAACGTAGCAAATTTGTTTGCAAATTACAGATGGACAACTAAACATAATTTACTGCTTTAACTAAACATAAGTTACTTTTTTTGTTGCAGGAGATTTTCTTGTTATCATAGCAAGGAAACAGCGAATTATACTTTAACTGTCCGTATTTAGCAAATTAGTTTGCTGCTACAACAAATTATTTTTTTCTGTGTTCATATTCTTAGATGTTTACATCGAATGAAAGAGATTGGATTGTGATCATTTTTTCCGAAAGTTATGAGTAAATGAAAATTTACCCATGTTTAGGATTTACGTAATTTTTTGATGTTTAAGGTTTTAGGATTAAAGAAAAGGATTAAAGAAAAGAGATTGGATTGTGATCATTTTTCCCGAAAGTTATGAGTAAATGAAAATTTATTCCGAAAGTTTTTTATATTATTATTCCGAAAGTTATGGATAAATGAAAATTTACCCATATTTAGGGTTTACGTAACTTTTTGATGTTTAAGGTTTTAAGATTAAAAAAAATTTGATATATTAACATATTTTAATATAGTTAAATCATCAGTTGCTCCAGCAATAGAAGTTAGTTATAGCAGTGATGCTGATTGGAACGTTTCGAATATTTACTCTGCAAACATTCAAGTAGTATGCAAAGCGTCTCCTTCTCCTCCGCAATTTTGATGGAAATGTAAACGAATGTCTACGAATTGAGACGAACATAAAAGTCCCATACCGTTTTGTAATGTTCGCAATAAATTTCAAGATATTAATTAAAGAAGATTTGAATGATCACGCACGATATGATAGATTAACTATAAGAGTACTGTTCGTCGTTGCATAATATAATTAAACCAAATTGAACAAAAAAATCCTTTACCATTTTGCAAATGACTATATAGATTTTTAGACATTAATTAAAGATTCGTGTATTATCGCGCTTGGTATTAAGCTAGCCTCGCTATGATCACAATTTCCTGTAGAACGATAGAGCCTCGGGATTAGTCGGGATTAGAGCAACTAATTAGCACATAAATAGCCATAAATTTTTTTAATTTTGGTAGGTCCCGATTTTAGCATTAGTGGGTGGGCTGACTTTACAGAAGTTAAGGCTTCTGGCCCCTCGCATTGTCTATCTCTTTTTAATAACGTCAGAAGCGAGAAAATGCATGCTAAAAATTCTTGCAAAATATATTGAAATAAAAATATATATCCATAAAGTAACACTTGCAATCGATTAAACAAATTTGTAAGATATTCCGTACATTTTCCTTTTGCTCTAAAAATCAATAATTTATTGTAAATTAATCTGAATAGAAATAGGCGAAGAAATAGGTTAAGAAGATAAATTGTATATCACGTTAATTTACGACAAATTATTGATTATTAAAGCAAAATGGGAGTGCACAGAATATCTTTCAAATTTGTTTAATCGATTGCAAGTGTTACTTTATGGGTATATATTTTTATTTCAACGTATTTCGCAAGAATTTTTAGCATGCATTTTCTCGCTTCTGACGTCATTAAAAAAAGATAGACAATGCGAGGGGCCAGGAGTCTTAACGCGAATATTGTACTTTAAGATTGACACGGATAAAAAATTTAGAGAATAAAATTTAATTTTTTCTCGCGAAAAAACTACATAATTTCGTGCCACAACGATTCTGCTCTGCATACGATCGCCATATTAGGTTTTTTCAGTGGAAAATTTACTGTTACACGAATTGGAACGAAGAATATAGGTCTGTTCTTTTTAGCTAAACTGTCTGAACATCTGCACATTGGTGCAATAAGTTAGAGTAAGACAAATATATTTCACTGCAACTTATTGTACCAGTTCAGGCAGTTCAGCTAAAAAGAACAGACTTTATAATTCTATCTGAAATGGGTCAATAGAATTATATTGACTGAATCATTACTTTGCTAATATAAAAAATTGGGAGAAGGCCTAAAGTGAATATACATAATTATATACACTGAATCTAAAAGATTTAATCATCAATATAATATAAACTCAGGTATGGTGACTATATGTTAAAGAAGAAAAAGCTGTATTTTCTCTAATAATTGCTAAATAGTACGTTTTACCACCTCAGTATACGCACATAAACTACGCATACAATATCGATTATTTTTGAGAATGCACGATTTCAGCAATTGGAGAAATTACAGCCTATAGTCATCTTTTCCGAGTAGCCATCACACTCCAGTTTATTTATCCTTCCCATCTATCGTCAGACACCTCGCACAAAAAAGTGCACGTCAAAATCCGTCTTTACTACAAGAGTCATTTCGAAACTGCGCGATCTCGTTCTCAATTCTACTAGAACTACCAGAGATCTAGATCTTACACGGCGAATCTATCGCACCGGCCCGATGTCTCTTACGAATAGGACTTACTTGAACGTTGAAAGCGATGCTTCTGCTTCGCGGTGTCGCTGGAGTCGAGCGACGACTTGCAGAGATCGTGGGCGATGTTGGATATCGGCGACGCGTTCACCTCGGCCAGTGATTCCTCGCCGGGCGATCTTTCGTCCATTTCAACGATGTCCGTTAATGACATTACTTTGTGACAGCACGAGTCGTCTCTTATAACCACGTACGCGTACCACGTAAAGTCCACGTGTCGGCAAAGCGAGTCACAAATGAAACACGATGTCTCGATGCGATATATTTAACGTTCACGAGCGTAACGTTTCCTCCCGACACGAACGCGATCGAGATGGTCCCTTCAACGAAAGGCGATCCTCCTCAGCCGCATGATATCCAGACGGTAAGATAAGCCGTTAATGAGCCGCGTATTTCGGCTATCTTTAACGGAAGCTCAATCGACACTGGCAGAATGTCACTGCCACTTGTCGATGGCAGAAGTCAGTTAGTAGCGAATTGCGGTTAAGGATGTATTGCCCGTATAGTCCCTGCAAAAAGTCACCGAAAATTAGAGAAATACGCTAAAATCTTCACTTTCCATATAAAGATACGGACTGATATTCTCAATTCTCTTTTATCGCTAAAAGCGTCCCTAGAAGTGGCTTGCAAGCCCTCTAATTGACTATAAGCCACTTTCAGAGACGCTTTTGAGGATGAAAGAGAGTTCGGAATATGAGCCATGATGTATAGATACGATATAGTCGAATAACAACGTATTTTTATTTTAACATCACGTTATTATAGTTTATTTACTATATTTCGATCTAAAAAATCTCCGATTTTTAGATTTTTGAACCACAATGAAACTTTGCATATATGTTGTTTTAAATATTTAAAGTACATGTATGCGAAAACTGAGATTTCTGTCGTTATTTTTTAATTATCTTTTCCTCTACTAAAGGTAGCAACATCATGTTAATGGCACGATTTAAAATAGTAACTTCTAAGTAACAGGACGACATCAAATGACGTATTATTGATGTTAGAGACATCATTACCCAGTAAACACCAACTAATAGTAACGTTGCATTAATGTTATAATTTTCTATTCAACGATATAATTGTTGCATAACTCTCACGTCATATTTTAGTTACATTGTTGAGTAGGAAATTATAATATTATCAAATAGGAAATTATAACAATTATGTCACTTATACTTGGTGTTTATTGGCTGATGCGTCATTAAAACGTCATTTGACGTCATGTTTGCCAAGCTTATACATTTCAAAATGGAATAACTTTTGATCCAGACTCTGAATCAATGTCAAGTTTATGCTCGCTTTGAGATGCAATATAGATTCCCTCTAAAAGTTTTAACTTTTTTCAAAATTTTTCTCTCATTTTTTAGATATGCGCAATACATCCTCTTAAATCTTGAACACCTGCGCGAGGTGCCAATGATACACCTCGCGTGAAGTTTTAGCAAAATTTAAATAGCTATTTAATAGTTACAAAAGATATCGTATCCGATTGAATTTTGAATGCATAAAATCGATTAGATATAATTGTTAGGAAGCAGTTATCTCTAACAATTGCCTGAACGTAAGAAAAAATTTGATGAATATCACAAAGAAAAAAAAGGGAAAGCAAGGAAAAAGAAAGAAAATAAATATACGAGGTCTTTGAGCTCATCTAAGAGTTAATCTGCGTTGACAGAGTAACGTTAGGAAAATGCGTTTGTCTTTAAGCACTAACATGATATTAGGGCTTTTGTATATGGGTTGTCATAATCATAATCATGACATCAATCATGTAAACTTTAATTGAAGGACCAATCAGAATTCTGCTATAGTTCTGTGTATTCTAAAAGAAAATAGGACTATGAAATAAAACTAATAAAAAACTAATAAAAAAAGAAACTAAAATCTTCATCTAGTTAAAATCCTAATTCGTCAATCTGAATCCTATTTATATATAAGGTAAACTCGAGCATGATGGCTATACGGAAAAGATGACTAGAAGCTGTAATTTCTTCAATAATTACTAAATAATATATTTTAGTGTACCTGAATGTACACACATAAATACAGTCGTTAGGATGCAGTTATCTTTAACAACTGTTAGAGAAACTCTGATAAGACTTTTCGACTCAAATTGTATACAGGGTGTACCATAAGTCGCGACTAATCTCAACGACGAACAGTCGGAAATTGTCTGGATATAAAAAGATTTAATAAATATCATAAAGAGAAAAAAGGGAAAGCAAGGAAAAAGAAAGATATTAAGTATAGTTTTTGAGCTCATTTGAGAGTTTCTATAGTCCGCATTGACAGAGTAACATCAGGAAAATACATATGCCTTTAAACATTGACGTGATATTAGGATTTTTATGTCGTAACCATAAACATCAGACTTCAACTTTATTTGAAGGGCCAAATAGGATTCTGCTGTAATTCTGCTATAGTCACTATTGTAAATATCGATTATCTTTGAGAATGATTACAAAAATTAGTAATTATTGAAGAAATTACAGCTTATCTTTTCCATATGACCATCATACCCGAGTTTACTCTACACTCACGTCAATCTTCTTTTAGTTGGAAGAATCCTAAAGTAATATCCAGATTGGTTCTTTAGCTTCCCTACTAAAAAGTTTCTATTGAGATCTCAAATAAAATTTTCGAAAAATTTTCCATATGAAATCTCAAATTATTTCATATATCTCATTGAAATATCATATGAAAAATAGAAAAACTTTTTTTTAAATTTATAGATTAATATTATAATATTATATTTATAATATTATATTTAAATTATAATATTATATTTAGATAAATATCATATTATATATAGTAACTTGATATAATATAATCTAAAAAATAAAAAAAGAAAGTTTTTTTATCTCAACTGAGATATTACTTTCTTTTTTCATACGATATCGGAATTAAGAAATAATAAAATAATTGAGATCTCATATGAAATAATTGAGATTTCATATGGGCAATTTTTCGGAAATTTTATTTGAGATTTCAATAGAAATATTTCAGTAGAGTTAAGTTTACGGCTTACATCTACGGTTATGGCAATCTATTTGCGAAAGCCCTTACCGGTATACCTCGAAAATGGAAAGACGCGCGCGTTTCCTCGTCGTTGAAGCCGTATAAGTCGATGTGGACAACGTCTCCCGGAAGCTCTGATAGGACTTCTCGACTCAAATTGTACACAGGGTGTACAATAAATCGCGACTCTAATGTCAACGACGAACAGTCGGGGATCTCCCCTGATACGCGTCGCTTTATCAGCACATATTGATAATTAATAATAGAAGATAACTTAGTATCTGACACACATTCGGCATTTAATTAGTCGCGTCCCGAGATAAGATTCTGTCAGACTTAAGTCTGTCGTACGAAACCATGATTCGTTTGTTTGTACCCTTGACACCCGAGACCAGTGTTGTGACTGAGACAGTGTTATGATTAAGAGTGATTCAGTGTTACGATTCGGCACGAATAACCTTTCATGTGCTGACAGACAATTACGGCCGCCCGACAAAAGTTCGCCGCGAAGACGTCAATTGCGGAACGCTTCAGATCGCTTGTTATAAATCGCGAAGGAATGCACGCGACTGTTGGCCGTTGGCGCATTGTACGTAAGAGAGAAAGAGAGAGCGCACGGAAAGAGGAAACCTGATTCCGTATATCGATCGACGACCTGGATCCGAGATCACAACTGGCAGTAAACGCATCATACGCACCTTTTCTTCGCCACTTGACAAATAGAATTGCCCGGCGTAGCCCTCGTTAAGTCGCAACGTCCAGTTGCCGCAACGACCGCACTGTCGGTGATAACGCGCGGCATAAACACGACGACAACAAACATTCGGCGATGTATCGAGCGATAAATATCAACGGAAAGTCGCACTATCAAAGCACTGCCGATTCATTAGCAGATACTTCGAGAACGTACAGAATGTATTCCGGCCGGCCCAACACTCCCGGATACAAACTGACCGTTGTGTATTTCGTTAGTCAAATGTGAGATAAGCATAACGCGCCGCACTGCCGCCGACGACGAGATGGCGCGAATTAAGGAGATTGCGCGCGCGTGCATGTGGCGCCGTGACGTGACTGGAGGAATGGGGATACATATAGACAAATAGAAAGATGAGAAAAGAGAGAGAGAGAAAGAATAAATATTTATCTCTGCCTAAAGCCAATTAAGGCCACTAAATGCCTCAGTAATTTTACGTTGTTTCAGTAATTGAAACATCAAAATAATACACTTATATTTAATATTCTATCTAAAAACTATAAAATCGATATTTTAACTGTTACACATAAAGTTCAAAATATCTATTGTTTTACACTGAATATTTGATATTTTTTATATTGGGTTTATCATGCGGTTTTATATATTATCTGTATAACGTTATATGGATGCTGTGATGGAAAAAATAGGTTTACACATAATCATACAAATACTTGTCATAAAAAAATGCTGCTCAAAAAATGAAAGTATATCTACTTATAGTATGTAACATAAATTAACATCTTTGTAACTTTTTTGACGAGAGTGTAACTGCAAATATACCAGATTAGTGCAAATAAATCATTTTTCTATGTTTATGCAAAGTTAACGTTTTTATTTATAAATACTTTAATAAAAAAACAAGTAGTTGAAATATTGATCACAAAATCTGAATGACTGAGCATTTCCTCTGAATGGATTGTAGTCAATTTTTTGCCAAGCAATAATCATAACAATAATAAATATAAGGTTTCTTATATTTCACATATTTGTCTCACACACACACACACACATATCTAGGTGTTATGTAAACTTGTAATATAGACATTAGATCCACCACTTAAAAAAAGTTTTACTCTGTAAAGACTTAAAGTTTTGCTCTATAAAAGCAAGGTCTTAGGTAATAACCTTAATCTTAAAAGTAAAGTTAAAACATTAAAGTTAATAACTTTTAACTTAATTTTGTTAATTTCAAATGAACCAACTTTTTTAACTTAAACTAGTTATTTTAAAATACATAAATTATTTTTGTAAATTAGAATAATTCTCTAATATAATTGCAAACTGTTAATAATGTAGAATAAGAAAAATAAAAAAAATAATTACAGAGAAATTTGTCTCTTATTTTTCTGAGCGCTAATGTTTTCTTCTTGTATAGAATTCTGAGCACAAAATAGTCAGTATTTTTTAAATAAAAAACTAACTTTTTTATTAATAATTCATAAATTTAATATTTGACTAAAAAATTAATTATACAAAAATATTTATTACTTTACATAATTGACTTTTAACTTTTACAAATTTATTTAATGATAATTGAGTTTGTTCTTGCTCATGTAACTAAAAGCATCAAATATTGCATAAAAAACAAATTTTGTAAAATAAAAAAAATTGTGCTTTTACATGCATTGTGTGTGTGTGTGTGTGTGTTGTGTGATATTTGTACTTTCGCTCTGCAAAAACATTTACAATTCTATGCAATCAAATAGGAAAACAGTGCAACAAATTACGAAAGTACATTATGTCGATATTCAGTATCTTCTTAAACGATTAAAATATTAAAGATTGAAAGCTACGAGTTGAAGATTAGTTTGTCCAATCGCAACAATATGAACCAAAATCGAAGTTGGTTGACTCATCAAATTCTAGTTTCCAATTACAATCTTGAATCAGATCCTTTCAGCTTCAAAAAATACATGCGGCATAGAGATTAATAATAAGAAACAACATAAAAGTATATGAAATATATGAATATACATACATATGTTTATATAAAGAACAATTGTTACTGCATTTTTGATACTTTGTTTTGTACTTACCTCTACATTATAAATATAAATGTATTTTGTATCATTAGATTAGAAAAGATTAGAGTAGGTGAGCTTCAGTGAGAGTTACAATACACAAATACAACACAATACAATTAATCACACAAATATAATCTATAAGAAAACGAAACATTCGTATAATTTATTTATCGATTTATATATATGAAGTAAAAATGTTATGTCACAGATTTATAAATTCATTGTCTTCGTTGTCAACGCCGCGTTACAATCGGAGCTACGTTACAATGTTCCCTTTTATATAAACGCACACACACAGCATTATAAATATATATTTAATATTTATATTATATATTTGTGTAATAAATACGTAATATATTTACAATGCTGTGATCGCGCGATTTTTAATACATAACGAAAGATCCAACAATTATATTGCCAGAAAAACATTCCTTTAGTTATCGATATGCTGATACTGGATCGAATATTAATTTTTTCGCGTGCGAAGTCTCTATACATAGCTGCTCGATAACTTTGCAATAACTAACTAACGAAGAAGACTTTATGTTCTTACTGCGACGCTAGAAAGTGGCCACGCCATGTTAGAGCATTGCAAAAAATCGTTTTTACTAATAATCTTCTTATATACTAACGTTAAATATCGCTGATATCAAATTGTCATTGCAAAATTGTTCAAAACTTAAAATTGTTAGAGTCTCGTTACACTATTATATTCGTTCATAGTACATGGAAAATTTGAAGGATAATGCAAGGAGAGCGTTGGTCGCCTTTGATTACCTTCAACAGCGAAAGAGTGAAAGCCGGCACAACGTCGAAGTATATGCATAAAGTTTCTTTTCTATAAAATTTAGAGAATTTATCGCCTTATCTAATTCAGGTAGTCAAGTAATACAATATATTAGCATGTCACAATAGAGCATTTCATGATCTGCTTCGCGTAATTCTCTACAATGAGTATCTTCGTTGTTACAAAGCAACGCACGCATAACAGTCTGGCGTGCGTGTAGTACGATAACTTTATGAAAATTACTCTACAAGGTGGTAATTTTGTAGAAAACGTGTGTAATCGATAGAGTTATTCAAGAATACTGAAAACAGTTCTCTTCTTTTCATCTATTCTACTGCATCCCGACCTTTGGAACTTTCCTTTTTGTCAAAATTTACTTTCCTTCCCTTTATCCTATATAATCACCTAATAAGCGCATGAATTGTCGTCACCTAAACTTTTTTCGTTTTTCTTTCTGATCAAGACAGCTCTTGACGGCATATAAAAAATTCTGAATATATAAAATATACATATATCGTGCGTATATTACTATATCACCTAATTTTTAAGGCATAGACAGGACAGAACGTTTCCGTTAAAATCTAGATTGCGGAATGTGAATATATAATGGGAAATCGAAGAATGCGATTAGAGTAATCATTTCTAATGTATATCTTCCGCGTCCAAGTGAACTTCCACGCAAATAATCAATCCTGTCTGTCGAACAATTTGTAGACGTGACACACAACGATGCGTTACTCGCCGTGCACAAACACAAATGTGGCATCGCGCGAAATACTAAAGCGAAAAGTAATTATCTTTCTCTCTACAATGACTTTTGCAAGCTTCGATTGCTTTATTCGATCACATGATTAGGCCTCTGCAAGGATTTTGGAGGAGACACAATGTAACCGCTCTTCACTACATTCACGACGAGATTTTTCGGTTTCGGCGGTAACGGCGGCGGTTTCGGTAATTTCGCACGAGACGCGTCCGTACCGTAGCCGCCCGAGTGTAGAGTTTTTGATTGGGGATTAGTACCGTTCTCTATGATCGTCTGATCTCCGTCTACTAACGTTCTATCGCCGTCCAAGGTAAACGAGCTGTCGAGGCACTTACTCAGAGGCTCCGTGATATTAACCAGGGCCGAGAATCGTTCATTCACGCCACCTCCGTTCGTCACGTGCGCGGGATACTCGTATCCGCTGCTGCAGCTTTGCTTATCCTCGTTAGAATCGTAAAACTTCGCGGTGCCCTCGCAATTGGCCGATACCACTCGGCTCCTTCGCATCTTGTTACAATCCGACGGTTTCCCATTCTCCTTGTTCTGATCAGTAATTTCATAGCTTTAAGAGTCGAAACGTATATGATATAGAGATCTTAAGAATTTATGTTTATGCACATACAACGCTCTCTACTGTTACTCTACTGCTACTCTAACTTCCAATATGTTAGGATATAGACCAAACATCACATATGATATACATGCAATTGTACCTTCAGAAAATCCGGTAGTTCGAAATTGATTTCCGTTCCTCGCTGGTCCTCCAGTCTGGATCTTTGTGCTCTTTTTAGTCCCTCGTATAAATCTGTAAAGAAAAATGATCATGATTTTTAAATCTCTATCCATATTATTTTAATAATAAAATAAATTTCATGATTTATGTACACTTCTAAGATTTAATTAATTAAACTCTCTCATTAAAATCGTTAGATATAAAATCATAAGATTAAGTTGTTCCTACCATCTCCGTCGAATCTGCCTGGAAGCTGCAATTTTACACCGTTACGCCATTTTGCGATAAGTGGAGGCTGAGATTTAACAGGCGCTCCCTCGTGTATGCAATCATTCGTATTACCTTTCTCACTTGTATTGCAACATTTAGATTTGGCCTAAATCAACAGAAATCGAGAGTAAGCCAATGTGTTATACATACAAACAATTAAAATTTTTAATTTATAAGAACATATATTTAATATGTGTGTCTTACTTTCTTCTTTCCGTGAATCGTTGAGTCTCGAAGGAAAAATTTACTGGATAATATGGAAGATCCTTCTGAACGCTGATCATCAGACTACATAATACATAATACAATTAAAAACGATAATATTAAAGACAATAGTGTACTATAGGAAATACACATATATTTTATCATTCCTTCAATATTATTTTATCTTACCTTACATGACCCTTCGCTATACTGATATTTATTCCTACTCTTTCCAACCAAAAGCTCCTCGAATACTTTGTTAGTAATTTCATCCAAAGTTGGTTGTGCATGTGGTAATTCGTCCAGATACTTAGCAGTATGCAATTCTCGTTGAAAATCTATAAGAAAAGATTTAATTAGGACTTAAATTATGACTTTATTGTTTTGTATTTAATGAAATTTTATTGATTCACATATGAGATACTAACCTTCTTCATTCGCCATTACAATAAGTCGTGTAGGGACATTGATAGCCATAACGTCCATAGGAACACAATGACCTTCGCTCCAAATACTGATGAAATCTAAGTTGAAACCATACTTATTTAAAAGAGGCCTCAAGACATCTTTCAGCGTTTTGCCCTTGTGAGCAATAACGCTTATTACTCTTCGCGAAGGTAATTCCACCTTTAGAACTTTTGTGAGAACGACTTCCACCTCTTGACTTGCTAATACTGATGAAGAACATTTTGTGTCTACCATCTGTAAACAAGAACGACATGCCATACTACACAACTATTATATTAAGACATTATATGATATCAATATATTAGTGTATTATCATTAAATAATAGAAATAATACTATAATCACTATTATAGTAATATAATAGTAATTATAATAAGTAATTATAGTTAAAATAATATTAGTAGAAATTAGTAGAAAAAATACTATAATTACTATTAAATAATAGAAAGAGTAAAAAATAGTTAGTTTACAGTTAGAGTGAGTTACAATGCAAGTATAGCAAATATATGCAGATAGCGAATATTCCCGATTTAAGATGCAAGTATAATGCAAGAAAAAAGCGATTTCAGTTTCTTCCTCCACCAAATTATATAAGACGAAACCAAAGGTGAAGCACTCACTGCAATTCGTCATATTCAAATACATCTCTACGATATTCGATAAATTCTACTCTCAACATGCTTCTAACTAGTTAAGTAAAAGACAGCACAAACCTCATCTGTCGCTAGTATCAGAACGTCATAGTTAGTATATCGTAGAGCTCTCTTATCAAGAAGACGGGTAACCACGTCTTTAATGCTGTCGGTTTGGCTAGTCGTCACTACTGTAGTGGAGCCATCGGGCAATATTACTCGACACAATCCCGTACATTTGCGAGCTTCTTTCTTTTCGTTCGTTTGTCCTTCGCAAGACGATACAGACTACAAGCACACGCGCACATACTCGTTCAAATATATATATATATATATATATATGCAAATTGACATGTACATTTTACACATACTTCAAGATCTACACGGTCTGATCAAAAAGATTGTCAACTATTATTTTACACAATGATAAAGAGATCCCAATATTATTCTACTAGCAATATCATGCCAAGAAATTAGCGTGATTAAAGAGATTTGATCAACTAGATTGTTATAATGTAATAAGACATTATGTAGTATGTCTAATGATTTCCATCTAAAGTTATAATATTGATATTATAGGCTTTTGGTTTTTAAAATTTTAAGTCTCCTAAAATACTTATTATTAAATGTTTATGCATTATATCTGTAGATTCAAGAGATTAGTCAAAAAGGCTTATAGTAAAACGAATCAGATCTACCAATACTCTAATATTCTACAGCAACTAATATATATTTTATAGATTAATGCAATATATATACTACTCTTTCACCTGGTTATTGTAACAATAACAATTTTTTCAAAAAGTACACAAGTCTGACTAATCGCATTCTCTACAATACCATAAACATTATAGACACACATCAACACTCATTAATAACTAATAACCCAAAATATCATGGAAAAGATTTATCATAGAAATTTTTTATTTGGAAAGATAGAAGAAGTTTTATTAATGCCTGCAGCAAACTCTGGCAATTAGTCAAACTAAATATCTTGAAAAATATATGCATGATTCAATAATGCTTACATGTTTGTTAAACGACTGCCGCAGTGCCAAATCCCATGACGCTAACGATGATCGACTACTGGATATCGATACGCTGTCTTCATTATTGTTGCCTTCTGTTTCTCTTTTAATGACGGTAAAGCTCTTATATATAGTCTCACTTCGACTGGGGACTTTGTTGTACTCGGTTTCGCCGCGATCTTTCGATTTAGATCTAAAAATGCAAAGTAAAAAAAAATATATATTGCACAATCAAATATATTAAATGTGTTTTATCGTCCTTAAATATATATTAAAGTATTTTCCTGACACACACACATACAAATTTGTAAATGTTTTATTTACCTATTCTTTCTGTTCCAAGGAAGAATCGATTTTCGACAACGATCTTCCGCATCAGAGTGGCTTTTCTTCAATTTTACACTAGGCGAACTCGTAAGATGTAGATCACAGTCTTCCGTATTAACTATGGCGGTACCTGCCTCCAAGCAAGCACGATAAAGTTCCGATCGCAAAAATCTCGGGTAACTGTCGAACTTCATCAAATTGAATACTTGTTTCTGGGCCTGGAACGATAATGCATCGGTTAAGTTACAGTTACGTATCGATTTAATTTTATTTAAAAAAATACAGAAATAGAATATATCATATATTCGCAAATATTCGTTATCAATCCACAACAAGTTCAACAAGTGACATTTAAAAAGTCTTCAGAATGTGCAACATGATGAGTGATGCTTTCGTTAGAAATGAACGTCAAATCTAATTTAATTTAACTTAATGTAATCCTTAGTGATATATACTTGTAGAAATAGATCCGCGGGTGCTTCGTCGAGTAGTTCCTGGGTAATCTGTCCTGATGCATGACTGTCAACGTTCACTGGCTCGGCGGCTGTACTTGACAAATGACGTTGGTAAATCTGACAAGCTAATCGATGCCGTGTAGCAGGGTCTTTAGTATCTTTATATCTTTCACAAGCAGCCCAAAAATATATGTTTTCATGACTAAACTCCTTCTTGAGAAATTCCTTTAATAGAAACAATGCGTTTAATATAGAGTCATATAAATATTATAGATATCTATAATATTATACACGAATATTAAACATCTATAATATTATTAACGCATTATATCACACATACACACACGCACATACACATATATATATATATATATATATATATATATATATATATATATATATATATATATGTATGTATGTATGTATGTATGTGTGTGTATGTCACGACATGTTCGAAATATAATCTATTTTCTACAACGCAAAGTCCTATGTAATAGAGCTGTATATGTCGCATTAGGATATTTCGACTTATGTTTTTGCATGCTTGTGTTATATGTTGTTGAAGTTGTTTACGATTATTTCTTTATTCTTTAAGATTCTTTAAGACTATTAATTTACTGTGCTTTTTTTGCTGTAAAATAATAATAAAACTAATCTAATGATAACTAATTATTATTGAATTTATTTTAATTCTCTCTACTGCAATACGAGGATAAATGAAGATATTGTTCTATTAAAAAGTAAAGGTGATCTTGTTCTATTTATGAAACAAGAAGTTTTTAAATTTTTATTATTACATTTTATTACTATTTAAAAACTGATTAATTGCATCTAAAACTTTTTCCTGTTCGATCATTGTAACTAGTAAAAATGTAATGGATACCGTGGTATAGTAAGCACCTCTTCTATAATATAAATAATATAGAAATATATCATATGCACATATAATATTCAATTGACATAAAAGAGACTGTGTAACTACTTACAGCGAATGTTTGCAAGCCCTTTGGATCATCCAAAAGTTTCTCGAATCCATTCGCCCACATGTGTACTCCTTTGCAGTCATTGTTCTTATCGCAAGACTCCGTACTGCCATACTAAAACAAATACAAACATCAAATTGATTAGATCAAGAAGAAAAGCTGTTTCAGTAAAGCTAAAATTAAAAAAAAAATGTATTACTGCGAATGTTCTATGTGTAAATAAAAAAAGTGTAAAAATGTATGTAATATGAATGTGTGTAAAAAAATAAGAATGTGTATAGATAAAAGAAAAAACAAATCTTATCTTCGTATTCAGTTTTGTAAATTTAATTTAAATTTAACACACACGCGAGAGAGAGAAAGAAAGAGAGAGATCATCATGTGCAACATCTGTTTGTCATTCGATTTGTTCAAATGTTAAGTCTATCCCGATCAAGTGATTCCAATATTTATTCTGGCGCATTTCGACCTCGAACCTTTGCAGTTCAACACCTGCCGCGCGCGCGCGCAACAGGTGCGCGCTATGAGAAAACGCTTTCTTGAATCGCCTTTCGCACGTACTCCGTTTTTTCCCACCCTCTTTCCCCATATCTTTCCAGCTCTAACGCGCAATATTCCAATCTCCCACGTACGATATTTTTTTCTTCAATCGATATTATGTAAGTGAAGGAGTGAACTTGAGAATATCGTATCAACGAGATATTGTAACAATTAGAAATAATAATGTCCCTCGATCGACAACGCGGAGGAAGTTAGAATCAGCCGTGTATCAGCCGGTTCAGAGAAAATGCGACTTAAACGATGATAAATATGACTCGCCGTCTCGTGAGCTCATGAGGCTTAAAGCTCGTAATTATCAACAATTAAGGAAATGTGTTGCGTCACGACAACAGCACCCATCACCAAAAGTACACCACTAATGAATAGTCGAACAAAACTAATTCCGAGCTTCGATTAGCTAAATTAAAATTGCGCTCCACGTCCTTTGCTCTCTACACACGGGGAGGACAGTCTCATCCTACGTCGCGTGTGATTCATAAATCGTTCATTGGGACGCACGATTAGATTAACATCGACCTCTCCTGCATTCACTTTACTACTTGGTCGTCTAATAACGCGGGATGTCGAATTTAGTGCGACAGAACAAGGGCATCCTGTGCACGACAGAATGTCGATCCTTTTGGGAGATCGCGAGAGAGAAAAAAGTGCCTTTTACGATCCCAAACAGAACACGCCGCATTGACGCATACGACAATTGCGACGAATGACGACACTTTCCCCCTCGAGCACGCACAAATCTGCTCCAAATTCGTCGAGCGAATGCGTCATCGAGAAATCGATGCGACAAATTGTAACGTACATCCTGCAGAGAACCTCTAGACTAAACCCGTCCGTTCTACGTACCGATTTCGCTTCCATGTCACGATTCGCGCGGCCCGCGTACGCTCTCATAGCGGTAGCAGCGGTGTCATTTATCAGCTTCTTGGGACGTGCGCTTGTGTGTGTAACGCGTTCGCATACTTGAACCCGAAATAGGTAAAGTCGCACAAGCGACGACGAGGAGGAGGAAGAAGAGTAGGATGAAGACGGCGAGAACAGCAACGGGAATGACAACGACAATTGCAGGAGCTAAACGAGCGGTTCGCTTGGACAACGAGGACTCCGCCCAGCACGACGGCCGCCGGGCATCGCCGTTGCTGTGCGCTTCGCGAGGACGACGCGCGACGAAAGCGGGCGACCGCGTTCCTTGCTGACAGAATCAACGCGCGACGCAAGGTGACGCGATGTGACGTGACACGCCGATGCGCTCTACGAGCTGCTGCTGCTGCTGACGATGATGACGACGACGGCGACAACGACAAATGGCCCAAACGCGCCGCCCGTAATCATCGCGACGCAGTCGCACACACAACGTGCGCCTCGCACAGCTACTACTACCGCGTTCTCGCCAGGCTAGGCCACTTCACGTCGAACAAGGCCCACTTCCCTTCCTCCTCCTCCTCCTGGCGTCCTTCTCCCTCGCTCGCTATACGACTGATTCATTCTCATCGCCGACCCTACTTGCCCCTCGCGCCTCTTCCGCTCCCACCATCATCACTACTACTACTGCGCGGAATACTACTACCATCCACCAGCGCGCGTCACACGGCCTTTCCCTCTCTGTCTCCCCCAGGCTCTGCCACTCAACCTCGTTTTAACATCTCTACGCAGGGCCGCACGCGCGGCAGTCGCGCGATGAGATGGGACAGCTGATCTTCTCCAGGGCCTCGTGAATGCATCGATCTACACAGAGATGGGCGTAACGAGAAAGAACGGCGGAGTCGCCTTGGCGTCTCTCCGCCGCGTCCGATCCTGCGTCTATCAACGTAAGATCTATACATGCACCTAAGTGTACACGCGGTGCATGAACCTCAGCCTCGCGGGAACGTCCTTTTTAATATCGCTTCGGACGTTACTCGTGCTCGCGAGGCGTATATGGTGGAAGCTATTTTCGGCTCTGCTATTGTCTCGCTGCGACTTAAGCGAAAGTTTCACGGCTCGAACGGTATCAATAGTCACGTAACGAATGTTTACAATATCCTCTTGTTATCTTCTACGAATATCTTCGTACTCTTTCCTATCGAATATCCTTTTCCTACTTCTCTTACTTTTCTGCTAAGTCTGAAAAAAGATGTCACATGTGAGGCTTAAGATAAAAGTACCAATTTCCGGACGTGTACCTAACCCTGAACATTTTTATCGTTTTGACATTTAAATACGAATGTTGAAACTTTCAACATGATATATATGTATATATTCAATATGTACATATATATCAGTAGATATATATATTTTTATGTTGAAAATTTAAATATTTGTATTTAAAGACCAAAAGAGAAAAATGTATATGATTAGGCCCGTGTCCGGGCATTGGTGCTTTTACTTTACTCGCATGAATATTCTGTGCAGAAAATTGGGGAGGAAAAGGCCGCAGCGTGGCTTACCAATTGGTTCTTACTAAAAGATACTGAATTCGTCAGAGATTCTGCAGGCGAAAGGAAATACGCGACCACCGAACATCCTGTACGCAACGAATTCATACGGCACGATTTCAAGGATTTGACGACGGAGTTCGTAGCACGTCGCGACCTTATTGCAATTCCATTCCTAGAAGCAGGAGATACGAAGTACAAACCGAATAAAGTAAACGCATGCGAGAATGTGTGGCGTAACTTGAACGCGGGGACGCGTTCACAGAGACACACGCACACCGATCTGCTTTCTGGTTATTTCGTTTTCGCTTAACCTTTGGCTATGTGTGCGTGTATGCGCGAATCAGAAGCAGGAAACGATGACGCGGCTTGAATAATGTATACATGAGAGAAACCGGAAGTCGTCCAAAAGAGAGAGAGAGAGAGAGAGAGAGAGAGAGAGAGAGAGAGAGAAAACGACGACAAATCCTACGGGCATTAGCATTACTAATGCACGCTTCTTGAAGTGATTCAAAGAAAATTTTGTTTCTCTCTAGAGAGAGAGAAAGAGAAATATTTAAAGACGCGATTCTAAAGTCGATAAAACTTTGTTGTCATTCAAATAAAAAGAAACAGCATAGATATTACAGTATTAGATATTATATTATAATATTAGAGATTAGCAAATAAAACAGAAAGATTCTGAAGTAATTTCAATGCTTTTTTTCTGTTTGAAGTAGCACACTGTAGATATCAAGAGTATAATCTAAAAATCTCGATATCTTTCTTGTAATTCTAATCGAAAGACAAACAGTTCAATCCAAAGTGGAAGTGACCTCAAATCCATCGAAATAATTTCGTGCATTGACAAGAGACAAGCGAGTGGATTAGAAGCTAAAGAGAATAACTCAAATACATTACAAGCATTTTCCATTGAAATAAAAAATACAGGAAAAGAGACAGTCATTCGACCCTCGTTGTTGCTTTTCCTATATTTTTGACATAAAGAGAATAAAAAATTAACAAAGACTCACTATGCAATTGTCCGAAACGCTGTTGCCGAGATTCCGAATTTCCTGTAGACTTCCCCAAGGTCGCGGCTTGTCCTGTTTGGCGGTGTACGAGTGACAGAAAGGTCGCGCATACTCCATGCTGGAATTGACGTCCTCCAGGCTGTGCACCAAGGACTTCGTAACCTGACCGCAGTACACTTTCGGGCTAAGTTTGTTGTTGATCGTGTCCGCGAATCGCTGCTTCGTCTTCTCCGTCGATGGTATCGTCCTGGAGGATTCGGCGACGTCGTCCTCAATACCGTCGAGCATCGCCGTGGTGCAGACCGACGCGAGGGAGCCAACGGACGTACTGGCCAAAGTACAGCTTCGCAACGCCGCTGCAGGGGCAGATGTTCCCGCAGGGGCGCAGGTGGTGGTCGTGCCCCCACCATTCCCCGCCACCGACCGCATCTCTGAAATGCGTGCCTTCGTAGGTCCCCACCGTATTCCATTGTTGCTCGCAACTCACTCGCGCCCGTTCGATGGCCAAAAGCGAGCACGAGAGACGCGAATTACGATGCAGCGTGAAACGCGCATCGCGCTTCAGCATGTTGGACTTACCTTTTGCCGAGTCAAATTTTAGTTCCTTGTTCCATCGCACTTCCGACGTCGCGCGAACCGCCAACCGATGCCCCGCGGACTCGCTGATGGATTCCCGAGACGATCGCGCGGTTACGTTCTGAAAATCGATTTTATATGTGAGGAAAGATACAACTAGTCGCATAGCAGAATGAGGTGGCAAGTGGTTCCAATTAGTTTAGATGCAAAGTTTTTTACATGTGCACCAGCTTACTGTAAAAATAGGTTTAATGAAAATATCAACATGTCGACTGCCCAGTTCAAATTCAAACACGAAATCTGCTTAAGAATGTAAATACAGAAAAATTTGAACTTTCTTGAGAAACCACACCGATAAAAATCGTGATCATTAAATGAAAGACAAAGATATTTTTTGTTTGTTTTACATAAGCTGAATAGATCGACAGTGATACACTGAGGAATATTTATTCCAAATATAATATTGATGATACATTAGCAGCCAACATATTAAAGGGCCAAACCAATGTAATGCTCTGAAAAAAATGTTTGGGAATTAATTTGACGAAAATGGATCAACCGAATGTTTTGAAACATTATACAGGGTTGAAAAACAACATGGCACAAATTTATCTACGTGTTCCTCAGACAATTCTAAGAACAAAAGTTCATATAAACATGTGTCCGAAACGGCTTAGTTTTTGAGATAGAGAGCTTTGAAAATTGCAATTTTTTTTTGTAATGATATTTGGAAACTAATGACAATAAATGAAATTTAGTATGTCTATACTTAAGTAAACCCTTCCTGAAAATGCCAAAAAAGTTTTTGAGTGAAAACTAGAAATAAGGGTAATAAAAAAAGCGTGGGGTAGTTTTAACCCTATCTTTGTGAAAAGAAAAAAAAATTCTGTTTGAATACCAGATTTTAAAAATTCAATGTTTTTTAGACAATTTATTATTATTATTATTATTATTTATTATTATCATATTGTTAAAAAAAAATTGCAATTTTTAAAACCCTCTATCTCAAAAACTAAGCCGTTTCGGATACATGTTTATATAAATTTTTGTTCTTAGAATTGTCTGAGGAACACGTAGATAAATTTGTGCCATGTTGTTTTTCAATATCCTGTATATAACTATTAAATATTAACTATTAAACTTTATATTACTATTTTTATTATATTTTTATTATATTATTATTTGTTTAGAAAAACAAATAAATAAATATGCAGCATGTGGAGGATGAACCTAAATTTTAAGTTGTAGAACGAAAATTATAGAAACAATAACTGTTTAAAAATTGAATATCCAAATTTCGCATCTTTTTATTATTTTAAACTATTAAAAAAGATTTTAAGTTTAATGTATTTCAGAATATTTTAAGCTCATCTTTCAACTACAAGCATATTATTTAAGAAACTTTTTAGTTTTTAATCTCAGGTCACTAGAACGGGTGCTATCTTTCCCGCTGTTTGCAGTGATATTTTTTGCACCAGTGAGTTCGGCTACGTACTGCATATTTATTTATATGTTTTCTTAAATAACAAAAATAATATAGTTTAATAGTTATTTAATTAATATATAATGTCTTAAAACATTCGACTGATTCATTTTCGCAAAATTAATTCCTAAAAATACGTTTTTTTTAAAGCGTTATATTGATCTGAGCCTTTAAAGAGCTGATTTAAACAGCCAAAAATATGTTTTCAAGAATTTTCAAAGAAATTAATAAAGATATTAATATAGGTTTTGACTATTATTTTAGATATAAAAAATTATTTTTAAAAAGTTCAAATTTTTTCTAAGTTTTTTGTGCCAAATGCGGTGTCGTTAAACGCCTCTAACTGGTAGACAATATTACAATTCGTGTAATAATTTGAAATAGATTAGACAAGACAATTTCAAAGCTATATTAAATTTGCTAGGGGGAGGAGGTACATCTAAATCCTTTGGACAATTTCTAAAATTGGTACTTTTCCCAGGATACTAAATAAAAAGAGAAGAAAAACGAAAATGACTTGTAATTTCGAAGTGCCGCCATTTTGTTGAATTTCGACTTTCCGCATAAAACAAAGGTTCATTCTTCAACAAATTCAATAGTTTTTAAATTTTCTTCTCATTTGTTTTAGATTATTACATGATATTATATGAACTGTAATATTGCTCATCAATTAGAGGCGTTTGACAAGAAACTGCGTTCAGCACAAGAAACTTGGACGACGAAATTTCTTTTAAATAAAAAAATTTATTTATACTTAAAACAATGGTAAACCCTATATCTTAAAAGAATGGTCAAAATCCTATACCTTAAAAGAATGGTCAAAACCCTATACCTTAAAAGAATGGTCAAAACCCTATATCTTTATTCATTTCTTTGAAAAAAATTCGTAAAATTCTCTTATTTCTCGACTATCTAAATTAAAATCTCTCCTTAACATTGTTCTTATTATCTTTTCAGGCAATAAATTTATAAGATTTATATAAGATTTCTAGATTTCGTAGATTTACCCTATATTGCATATTTGAAGGACATTGTCTTCTTCGCCCGCAATCGTTCGCCGTGTTCTTGCCTGAACAGCTGCCGTAGTCATCCTTGAAACCAATCCCAGAATCGCTATTGCTGGAGTGAGCAGTCGATGTGCTAACGTTACTTGGCTGAGGCGAGGCGGTGTCCAAACGTATGCGCGCTTCGTTGTAAGGATTCGTCTCGCCGTTCGTGCAATCGGATATATACAATGTCTGTATGGCACCGATAAGATTCGTACAGCTATCGGGGAACTCCTGACAAACATTCAGTTCGGACGACTTTGTGCACGTAAAACCGAACACGTTACACGCACTAGAATGCACTTGGTGATCGATTAACTTATAATAAATAGTAAAGACGTGACACGAATTGGAGACGATATCGTCCGTATCCCTCATGGATTTAGTCAATATACCAAAATACTGCTTATCTTGCTCAGAAAAAGAGTTACAAAATATTATTCGATACGAGGGATATTCTGCGATGACACGATTCTCCGAGTTGGTGAGCTTGATATTGGCAACATGAATAGTGAGAAGAACGGTCGTCGGATTTCGCTTTTCCGCCTTCAGTCTTTTGATACATTTTCTCAAAACCTGCAACAATGACATCAGATGAAATATCACATTGTATATTGTCTTAATTGAATTTGAGGAGTTTATTCACCAGCTATATATTTTCAAACTATCCAAAGGGTATATTTTCAATGGTGCATTAAAGAAGCTACTCATAAATTCATTATTTATTGAACAAAATTACGTTTTCATATATTTATTTCACTAAGTAATAATTTTCATTAAGCAATAAATGTTAATTTAAAATTAATTTCATGATACTACTTGTCACTCTATATAATGTTACTCAAAGCATAAAACAGCAATTTTCTGGCAATTTTCTACAATCGACCATTGTACAAAAATAGTATAGTAAGTGCTATTCTTTCTTCTATGCTGTGTTTCTTAATATGTAACATTTATAACAATTAGTTTTTTACTTGAATAGTATCATTTTTACAACTTTAATAAAATAATGGTCATCTATATTGCTTCTACCATAAGATTACATGTGTAAAATTGCGATATTAAGCATAAATTTCTTATGAATGGTACAGACAAATTGCATGAGACTTTAACTACAAATTCATTTTACAATAAAAAATATGTTAAATTTGTATATTATTTTAAGCATTTCGGTTTAGGTAAAAAAATTCCTCAAAGGAATGTTGGATATTAACATGATGCAATTTCCTAGTTTGTACTGTTTTTCTTTTTCTATTTGGTTATATAGAATTGCAAATACTTTTGAAAGTACAAGTATCAATGCAAGAAAAGGCATCAAATATTGTCTGGAAATAAAAAAAATTCTGTAAGTAAAAAGATATTTTATTTTTAGCATGATGTTTATAGTATTCTTTTCCATGCGTTGACATTTGTACTTTTACATGCTATAAAAGTATCTTTACCAAATATTCTATGTAACCATATATAAAAATGATCAAAACAAACTACAAAACTACATTATGTCAGGAGAGGAGGGGGTTATCCAGCATCATCTTAACACTAAAACTACCAAACAGTTAAAATGAGAAGTTTGAACAGTTAAAATGAGTAATTTCTTGTAAAAATTATTCAAGTTTATAAAGATATATTTTATATTTTTAACTGATGCTAAAAACTAGAAAGAGTGAACACTCACTTTTCCTTTTCATTACATATTTTTTTAGAAATCTATCATTTTGACTACCTCGATAAAAATAAGTTGTGAATTATTGGCAGTTGTAGTATTAACTAAATAACTTACAAGCTAAGTACAACTCAGAGCATACCTGCATCATGCACGATGAGTGCAATTGATTCGGTATATCAATGGTACCAAGATAACCGACAACAGTCCTATGAACAATTTTCTCAGAATCACGTTTGTGGGATACTAGAGGTGGTGGTGGTGGCAGAGGACTCGTCATGTTCCAACGATAGTGCAAGCCAGAGTAACCATAATGATCCTTATTCTCTGGCAACGCGTTGGAGCCAACAGCATGAAACATAGCGCCACTTTGCAGATCCCTTACCACTTTTGCCACCCTGCACTGCAGTTGCAGAGCACCGGCGTTAGTGGCACGTGGTTTGTGAGCGTATTTAGGCTTGGATCTTACAGTAGCCAAGCCTTCCTCATCGGATGAGTCGGAGTAGTAGTTCTCAGCTATTTGCAGTCGCAGCACACCCTTGGAATTGCCAATCAGCTGCACTACGTCGTCGTGCGGCACCTTGCTGACATTGTGGCCATTGACAGCCACCAGGTAGTCGCCAGCACGCAGACCGGCGTTTTCTGCTGGACTGCCTTGCACGATGCAGCTCAGTATGCATGGCTGCTGGCCCGATATCGTGAAACCGAAGCCTTTCGCGCCGCGGATCACCTCGACCGCCCGCACGCCGTAATTCACTCTCTTCTTCTTCCTCCTCTGGTTCTGGTGCATGCTTGCTCGCGGCTCGTCAAGAGAGATCCTCGTGGGGAAAACACGTGCACTTACCACCGTTGCCGAAGACACTTCCGGGATTGCGTCCGCGATGAATCTCCAGCTCCATAGTTCGTATTCGGCGTATTTACAGCGCGCATTCCTCGCCTGACGATTCGCCAGCGCGACGACCGAACTCGCTCGAGGTCGCTGTCGAGTGGTAGCGGATACTGCTGCTGGTCCCACCTTCTCCGATCATTCGCAGATCGTGCCGAATTCCAAACACAAATCGACTCGACGTCAAGTAACAGAAACGCCCATCGCACAGATCGAAATGTCTCGCGAACATTCGCTGCTTTGTTATCTTGGCTGTAATCCGGGAAACTTGCGCATAGTAAATTCCGAGCAAGTTCTACGATGATCGAATGTTTTGGAATGTTTCGGTCGAGGAAGCTAGAGAAAAAGGTGATCGACCTTGTATCGACAGAGAGAAGACTGAGAGCGGCCACCAGGCGATTTTAAAAGACACTAGACGCGTTTTAGGTACGCCATCTGACGAAATCCGTCTAAACTACATCTGTTAAGCGCACTTTTCGATGATAATGATAAAATGCGTCTGGTTCGCGTCTGTTCTACTCCCATATAATGGGTGCTTTCCAGTTGCGTACACTGTGTTACACAAAACCAGTTTATTGGTTGCATTATCTCGCAAGATATTTTAGATAATATGTAACCAATAAACTGGTTTTGTGTACGTGTGTATCAAAATATGTTAAGCAATTGGAAAGCACCCAATGATGGTAAGTTCGAAAAGGACAGTCAACTTAAAGCCGGTTTATGATGGCCGTAATCCGCATTGAAATATATACTACTTGGAAGTTGTGATTGGTTAATTTCTTATGGCTTAAAACTTACTACATTTATTGTAGATCAGGACTTAGGGCCTTTGCATGTAGAAAAATTTTAACCGTAACCGTAAAGTCGTAAGAAAACTGACCAATCACAGTCGATTATTCTTCGAACGCAAGAAGAATAATCAACTCTGATTGGTCAGTTTTCTTATGACCTTACGGTTACGGTTAAAATTTTTCTACGGGCAAAGGCCCTTAAGTTTACAATGGGATTGGAAGTAGGCAGTAAAACGTAAGTAGTAAACAAATTGATCAATCATAGTCGATTATTCTTGTAATAATCGTCTGTGGTTGGTCAACTCGCTTACTGCTTTTGTCTTACAGCTACTGCCAATCCCATTGTAGACGGACCTTTAAGCGTCGTCTACAATATGCGGAGAAGCTTGAAGTAGGTAAGCCGTAAGAATTGACCAATCGTAGTCAATTATTATAAAAATAATCGTCTATGATTGGTTAATTTGGCATTTAAGGGCATTTGCACGTTATCAATTTTAATTTTTCTTTCCAGCTCTTTTGGGTTTTTTTTTCAAATACACTCGCGATAAATAATCATAAACTTAGTAAACTCGTAATTTGTGAATTGCAATAATATCTAATATTTAAAATTGGAAATTTACAACACAATGATTTTTTCGTCTTTTGACATTTTTATTTCTTTTTTAAATCTAAATTTTGTTTCAAATTTACAGATGTATAAAATGCATGTTAAGACAACCCCTCCTCCCTCCCACCCTTCCTTCCCCCTCCCTCTCCTCTCTCTCTGAATATTTTAACATAATAGCAAGCATATGAATAGTGATATTTCATTCATTCTAATACAGTATCGATCTTGGAGTTTCTTTGTTGCCAAGTTTTTTAATTTACAATTTGTTCATTTAACTTCCATATATAAAGTTTGTGAACAAATGGTTATACAAAATGTACATTTTAAATTATTAATTTTCATTTAATAGCGCGTTACGTGTCCATAAGTGATTAAAAAATTACACGATATGCGTTTTCTGAGAAGCTAAACTTACTTGGAATCGTTTCAAATTTACTTCCATAAGCGGATGCGAGAGACACTGTAGCAATAGCAAGAGGCACGGAAGAGAAATAGCAATTATAAATTTACTAATAGCGCTACCTATGTCGAGCCAACTGCCATACGGCGTGACGGAGTACATTAAAGGTAACGATAGACAATCTCCCAGAAAGAGAACAGCCAAGGAAATAGACTTAGTTCCTAGAGCGTGACTCGCACAACCGACTAGTATCAAAGGAATGCTGAGTTTAAACAGTATTAAGGATGTCATTAGAAACGGAGAGAAGACAGTGACGAAGTGGCGCGTCCAAGACGGGTCGAATGAACTGATACTCGCCATATTACCCGTGCCGAAGAAACACAATAGTGTGTATAACATCTATAAGATGTATTAAGGAAATAAAAATGAGAGACAATTGCTGAAATTTAAAATTATCAGGAAAGACGACCTAGGAGAATTGTCGTTTTTTAAATATGCAAATAGATAAAATACATTCGAACAAAGGATACGAAAAATGCTGCTTTAATCATGTCTTCCGTGATCAACGTGTTCCCTTTTGAACGCTTTAGAGTGGTCGGGGCGACCGTCAACCAACAATATAAATTGCCAGTCAGCGTCAGCAAAAAAAGCGGCTCATAAGACGCGGACAATAACGCGAACGGGCAGAAAAGTCCGAGTGTTATGCCCAGCATTCTTGTTTTGACGTCAGTTGGGTACTGCCAGATGCACAACGGCGTTGTCAATAGAATAATCCACGATACCCAGTATCGACCATCGATAAATTTCATATATACAAAACCCGTGATCACTAGACGCAGGATCTCCATAATTTTCAAAGCCCGCGAAGTCTCAAGGAGAACCACTGTCGAAATAGTCAGACATATGCTGATTATCCTGAAATCATTAATGACGAAAATACATTGATATCCTTTTGCTTTCAATCACTTCAGCAATATGCAAAATCCAGTGCTATGCCATAGATTTCAAAATTACATCTAAGCGGATATTGTTTGCGTACTTTCTATGTGATCTATATACAGTCGTTTTTCATGACTATTTTAGACTATGTAAATTATGTAGAACATATATTGTAAATTAATATCAAAATGTACAAAAAAAGTAATTAAGTTATAAAACAGTTATCATATTTATTATGGATATTAAATAAATAATAATGTAAAAAAATATAATGTTTAGAAGAAATAATTGCATGAAATTTTTATTTCATCATATGACATTAGTAGATTTAACTCTCTGTAGATAAAAAAAAGGGTGTAACCGCAGATTTTGTTTTAGAAAACACTAACTTGGTTAGGAAACAATATTCATAAATTTCCATCAGAATTTTAAAGGTCAAGTAAAAATATCAATTTTTTTTAATTTTAGAGCAAGTCATACATCCTTCTATCTTCCCCTTGCCGCGAGTGGCCACAAAAGTATCGGTCGAGCCTCCAAACTTGAAGTCGCGACTGGCTGCGACAGTCATTTTCCTGGCCCGCTTACGGCAAAGGAAAGATGGAAGGCGTAGCTTCCGACAATCGGCCGAAATGAGCAACTAATTCCGAATTCTGTAGCCCTATTCTGTAACTCGTTATTGAAGTTAACGACAGTTTCATCGTTGCGCAGTTTTTATATACCGTAGAAAAGCTTCGCAACGATAACGAAACTGTAGTTAACTCCAATAATAGAGTTACAGAATCCCAACACTGGTCTACATAGACAATATTTTGTATATAGTTTACATTTTATCTATACATGAACTTAGGCCTGTATTAATAGTCTTTATTTGAAACTTCTTTCAAATGAGTTACTCAGATCTGAGTTCAGAGTTAAATGAGAGTTTTTCAGCAGATCGTCATTACAGACATTGTCACATGTATTATATAACTCTAATCATAATCATATAACTAAAAAAACTTGGATCTAATTCTGAGTGGAAATCCAAGTATCTTACGTGAGACAAATTTTAAGTAATACAACTATCAATACAGACTATAGAGTATTATAATTTACAAGGTCCAACCTTGATAAAATCACAACTCACACAATGTAAACACGTGGGTACGGTTCCACGACTGGTAATAAAGGAAAGACGCACAGTGCCAGAGATGTCCAAAGAAGCATAGGAGATTGTGCGTTTTCCGATTGCATTCTTCGTATTAAGATGGTAGATAACATACCTATGCTAAGGACGAATCTATACGTCAGTCCAATAAATAGCATTACCAGTAGAAATAGCGTGCCTCCGATTTCTATAAGAAGTTTCCTCTCATTCTTTATTGCGAATACAGGCGTTGACGTGATCATGGAGGCCACAGCGAGCCAAACGGATATTATTGCGAAGGACGCATAGCACGGCAATCTCCAACTACCGCAATCGGACACTGTCGACAGAAGTTGATTCATTAACCACCTTGTGCGATAACCTAAGTCTAATTCGGGATAACGTTTTCTTTCATCATTTAATAACCAGATGTTATATTAACATGAGCAAAAGTGGAAATTAAAGAACAGTACTTTCCGATAATTAATTATATTAATAGTAAAAATTACTTTTTGCAAAGTTGCACTTATTTAAACATTGTAAAAAGAAGTTATTTTTTTAAACCTACAAAAAGATGCAGAAAAAAATTTGAAGTTACGCATGTTAAATAAGAATATTTTAAGAGTTTTCAAAGATACTAATATCAAAAATTTGTAGCCATTGTTGCAAAATTCAAAACGGTGGATTTACAGTCGAGTAAAAAAATAAAACGGCTAGTATTATATTTTAAAGTACCCAGGATACGCCGTGTGAAGGCTCCCAGTCCGATATTGCTTTCCTTTTTGTTTTTATCATAGCATCCTCAAAAACTTATAGAAATTAAGTTTCATGCAAATAAACACAATATTTCAACATTTATTACTTCTAGGTCTTAAATAAACCTAACAATAAATATTTTCCTTCGTAAGAAAAATTGAATCATTTTGATGTTAATTTCGGGAAAAAATATAAGCGCAGAGTAGTTAAGGAGTGTTCAGTTTCTTTACGAAAGTATATTCTCATTTCATATTATTACCTATATGTCCCATTAGTGTTATTATCAGTAGACTCGCGAATCCGATATTTGTCAATAGTAGCAAGGAGATTCGGCGATATTGACGTTTTACGCCAGCTATCTTTAAGAATAATATGGTTATCCAGCCAAACCACATTATCGATAGATAAGTTAGGAATCGCGTTCGCTGATATTGCCGAAAATACAATAAGGCCTCCTTGGCGAAAATGATTGCTGCATCACCCTCGCGGATTCCCTCTGTCACGTCGCCTCGATCGAAATAATACTCGATTTTACGAATTTTGTCATTCAATTGTTCTTCCCGCCAATCGGTATGGCCACCGTTTCCGCAATTTATCGCTCGATTTCCGGTTACTTGATGCGCAAGCTGCTTCACGTTGCTGAGTAAAGCTCTTCCTACGTATTCGTGATAATCGCTGTCGAAATACCGCCACGGTAACAAGCCCTATAAAAATATTTGGTGTGTACAGTGTATAATATTGAATTACATAAAGTATTACTATTGATGATTAGGAATAGCATATATTATTAAATATATACTGTTTGTTTGATAATTAAGTGTTACATATAAAGTAGTGAAAAATTGACTCGGTTTTACATACGAATATGGTTCAAACAGAATTAACTCTAATCTGACACACTGAAGCCATTTTCGATCTTACCCGATTTTTAATTTTAGATTACTCGTAAATTAATGGAATTTGGCTCAAACACTAAAAGAAGTTTTAGTAGGAATATGAGATTTAAACATAGTTGAACCATTTCAATTGCTTAATATTTAATAAACATGTAATATTAATGTGGAATTGTTTTTCCCTAGTGTGCCAGATTGAAGTGTCAAAACATGAAATAAAGATAATTTTTCGTTATATTTCGATTTTTTGCATTACAAATATACAAATGTAATGTATAAGATTTTATGTAATTTTATGTAAGTTATAATTTTATGTAAGTATCTTATTTATTTCTGGCTATATATTACATGTGATCAAGGTTTCTTTACTTATTATCAAACTCTAAGCACAAATAAAGTACAAATAAAAAAAGATTTATATGTAGCTAATCTTTGTAATAAATTTAATAAAATAATAGATTAATACACTACAAAAACTTGATAATATTAATGATTATCTGTTTCTTGATTTAAAAAATTATGCATTTTTGTATGCCTAAATAATTATATTTTTTTAATGAATCGAAACATATAATGTTCTTATCATACTTTTATATCATCTTTTTCTTATAAATTCAAATGTTAAAAAAATCCTAGTGTGTTAATTTCTTAAATCCATTTTCGAAAAAGTAACAAATTTTTATGTGAATTCCCATTTTGCGATCGTTTCTATATGTAATTCTACTTTACAAACTTCAAAGTGATTATTTTCATCGAAGTGATTGTTTTCTATAGATTTTCATTGGCACTTTTATGGAATGTAAATAAACGAGGACGAAAACGACCCCAGAATGTGTCAGATTAGTGAAGGATCAATTCTATAAATTAAATCTTTAAGATGCTCAAAACATGTATGTTGTATGAAGATTAAAATAGTGAGTGAATTATACTTACTTCATTATTTACAGGGATGGGAATTCCTACTAAAGACGCTATCAGAGGTGCTATGCTCGCCTGCTCGACATCTTGACGATGTCCAGACGACTCTATTCCAGCTCCCCAAATAATCAATGGTGTTTCGGTCTCTGACGTCAAACCGCTTCCGTGCGATCCCCAATCAGTCATTCCATGATCTGCCGTAAAGACATAAGCAGTAGTGCCTTCTTTAAAAAACCTTTCTGTCACGTTAACAATCTCTTCAATCCTACGATCGACATAGTTCATGTTTTCCGTGTACTCCCTGCATACAAGATTTCCTTCTGATTAACCAATTTGCAATTCTATTTTCAAAATAACCACAGCGATCTTACTAAACAGGTAATAAGTACTTGGAATACGGCTTTTTAGCATGTCCCAAAGTGTCACATCCAAGTAGATGAAAGAAGAAAATTATTCCTTTTTGATCTCTCACTGTGTCAGCTACAGTAGAATGTAGCCATTCCAAGTAGGCATCAAACACCCAGGAATCCAGGCGCATTGTCTGGTTATTCAAATTAGCATCAAAGTCTTGCCACGCAGAAGGATAAGTCTTTCCATGAATATTCTGTTTGCTACCTGACTTTTTGAGATTTCAATATAAGCACAAAACAATGATAACGATCAACATCATTACTTCTTTCTAGAATACCTTTTGTAAATATTGGAATGATATCTGGGCTGCCCCAAGCCCAAGTAAAATGACTTTGGTTGAAGATAGAGTCAAAGTCTACTGGATTCTCCTGCCATCCTTTGAAGATAGCACTAGGATCCTCATATAATCCTGCAGCAATTGCGACATGACCAGGTCTTGATTCTGTAGGTACTCTTGTGTGAGATACTCCCCAAATACCTTTATTATTCTTCATTATGCTTCTATAAAATAAGAAACAAAGATTAAACCAATTAATGCAAAAATAATGTAAAAATGATGTTAATATTGAGAGATATATATATAGAATATTCATTAATACAGAAATAAAAGAGAAATAAAAAGTGTGAATTCTTGTTTAATAAAAATAACCAATTTAAAGAATAACAAGAATAAAGTCAAGTAATATCTAAATAATAAAAATAGTTAGGTCTGTTTCCTGTTGCTGCACCATTGAACTGATGCAATAAGTTAAAGTGAGACAACCATATATTTTCTCACTCTAACTTATTGGACCAGTTCAGCAGTGCAGCAATAGAAAACAGACCCATTGTATCTTTCATCAATGAGGACACTCTAGTTGTCAGGAATACCTGAGATAAAGTGGTGGCTTATCTATAAATGTCTGAAACCTTAAACCATCTGCCACAAAAAGAAACACTCTTTTAGCTGGTGCTCCATGCGGTGCCGCTACAACTGGCAATTCCTTAATAATAGGTGAATGAAAATTAACGTCCAACACGCCCCATAATAGGATTAAGTGCACTATTAAACTCCATAGGCCGAATAAATAATTACTCCCCGTTTTGACCCACGGTTTATCCACGTCGTGTTTTTCAGAATCGGATAATCCGCGACTCGCGACGTCGAGCAACTTCCTCGTGTACATTCTCAGTAAATGTTAAAATTTATACAATGAACACATGATCACAAACATAAATGACATATTCCCATTTAGCATCGCGCAAAGACCGGCTTCTTTAGTTAGTGCAACGCAACAGTAGCAAGTACAGTACTTTTTGTACTTATTTGCACTTTTCTTCGCATCTCAAAGGCTGCGTTCCAAAACTCTACTCGACGGGTAGAGTTTAATTGTCCAATTTAATTGTCCAATCATGATAAAGAAATCCTAGTTATCTTTGCTCTTATTATTGCCCAGTTCTACAACCTCCGTTTAACTTTGGCTGCATTCCGAAATTCACTGTCAGTACTGAAAATCTATAGTATACGTACATAGATTTTCAGTAACGGCAGTGAATTTTGGAACGCAGCTTTTAACTAATAGCGAATTCGGTTGCTTGCACTAGTGTGCACTGAGTGCGCACTAAGGCTTGTTCATAGTATGTTATTATATTTAAAGATTGTCTTAAATAATTCTCAAATAAATTCTCAAATATTTTTAACCATAATATGATATGTATAACATCCGTACGAATCATTTTATTAGTTAAAATGTTTTTAAATATGTATTTAAGACACGATCTTAAATATAAGAATGTACTGTAAACAAGCCTTAATGCGCACTCAGTGCGCACTAGTACAAGCTACCGAATTCGCTATAAGTCTCAACAGGTTAAGTCTCAACAGTGATTGGTTAATTCTGATTAAAGCCAGCGGCACACGATGCTTATTTTCATGCTGAATTGCTTGCTGAATGGAAATATTCTGTTCTGATTGGTTTCTAAAGACGGACCAATCAGAATAGAGTATTTCCATCCAGCAAGCAATTTAGCACGAAAATAAGCATTGTGTGCCGCTGGCTTTAACGTAGTATGCGGAAATCTTGATCTCTGAGCACGAGGAAGGTGTGATCGAGAATGTATGCTGACCAGGGCTTTGGGGAACCAAATAATTGTAGATACAAATTGCCTGCATTCAGCAGACTTAACAGTTGCGTAAGGGTGCTATTTCACGTGTCGTACGACAAGCTTTTCGAATATGTTTATTGGTTGGCGAATAGAGTATTTCTAGGTTCTCTGTTCGTCAACCAATGAACGTATCCAAAAAAAACTTGTCGTATGACACGTGAAATATCAGCCTAAGGAGGCTTTTGCATGGGAACATCGAGCGTCGAGCGGTAGCCAATCAACGTGTCACTTTCCGCAAGAACTACAATTATACTTCTGGAACCTGATACGTTGATTGGCTAACGCTTTAACTCTGGAAGCTCGACGCTGGAACGCTCCCATGTATTGAACCTTAACAGTTTAGCAATTCAATATAATTGGTCTAGATTTAGATAAAGAAAAATCGTACGAAAATCGTAAATTTTTAATGTGTAAACTTTATTTTATTACATATATCTACACTTACTTTAAAGTTACTAGGCTGGATGAATACAATCAAATATTTGCTTCTTCTCACACTTACATAAATCTTTATAAAACGTAATTAGCACAAATTACAAATTAAAACAATAAATTATTATATATAATATAGATCTATTCCATACATACTTATACACTCGACTAGTACCAACACCATATGCAAATATTTATGATGTGCATCTCCAAACATTTATAAAGTAACTATTAACTTACTTTGACTGTTCTTAAGTCTTTATTATAATACATTATAGCACGTTCTACGAGTGAGCTGTTTTTACTTTCTGTACTTGCTTCTGTCTGACCTTTACTGTTTTTACTAGAACTTTCATTATTACCATTGTTTACTTGCAATACTGGTTCAGGTGTTTGTAATTTGTGCTTTGTGTGATTTGCCAATTCATTAATAGCACTCTGTAGGTACTGAATACGAGTTTCCTGCTGCAACGTCGTGTTGTGCAGTGCCTGTATGTCATCTGTGAACTTCTGTATTTGCATTTGTCTAATCTCTTCCTTCTTACTTTCTTTTATAGCTTGTCTGTTGTATTCCAATATCAAACATCCACCAGCCACACCAAAAATAACTACCTCACTCATCAGACTAGCACCCAGCTCGATTGCCATGGCCTCATTTAATTTTGCCACTTTTGTTGGCTTGCCAAGATTCATAACATACATCTTTGCCTTTACCTCTGCCCAATGATAAACTATACATATAAAAATATTGACAACAACATTCGATAACATGTAACATGTAAATGCTTTGAAATCATAGAAATATACTTACATTGAGCAGGTGGTATGATAATATAAGTCCTAAAAACTGGATGATTCTTTGCTTGATTGACAAGAAATTTAGCCAAGGGTTTGCTGATCTGCTTGATGAAAAGTACAGATAATTTGAGAACAGGAAATACACCAACTGGCATTTTTATTGATTATTATTATTACTATTAGGCGAGCTTTTCACCTATTTTAATATTCTGAAAAAATTTTTAGTCACAATAAAAAATTTGTCTGGTTAATATACAATATCAATATGGAGTGCTAAACAACATATTAGATAAAACAGGATAATTTAATGATGGATTTAATTATTTCGTAATCATGAATCACTACCTCACTTCTAAGATCAATTCAAAATATAATATTACGATGATATCGTAATTGACATTATGCCAGAAATTTGTAAAATTCTTCAAATAATTGATACGGGTACATATCTCTTTGTTAGCAGATATGTACTAAGTCTCGTGCAAATTTCATTAACATATTTAATGAACTTCCGCAGCTTTATAAGTAATCTATTTCTCTGGAGACACAGTAGATACTATCAAGTGCTCTCAAGCCTTCAGGTTAATTACCAACTGATTTTTGATATACTGAGATAAGTTGCGAAAGAAACAGATAGAACATTATGGCCATCTGTGGTGCAATTCTGTAACTCAATGCTGTAATCATTAGTTATCCTTGCGCAGATATAATAGGGAGTTTTTGCAATATCGTATCATAGGCCAGTATTCATAGTCCGATATTATATTTAATAGCGAATTCGGTTGCTTGCACTAGTGTGCACTGAGTGCGCACTAAGCTTGTTTATAGTATGTTATTATATTTAAAAATTGTCTTAAATAATTCTCAAATTATATAACGGTTTTCACTGTTCGCAGATACGGTTTTCCTAAAAATTATTATTAAAAGTATTATTTGACCGTAAGGGTCGAAAATGCTCTACGTTTTCTACTTTTTGACGATAGCTCTACGTTATCGACGCATATCAAGTTCGTCGCTCGCTCCGACATTCCCTTAAAAACGTTCTAAAGATGTTTTATGATTTGATTTTGGACATTTGTGCTGTCTGGATAATATTTACCTTTCTTTTTTAGTTATATTTTTATAAATTTCTTAAACCTTGTAATATATATTTCTCTTCTAATCCTGTGAAATAATTAGATTTAATAACGGCTATATGAAAAAAATTCTAAAGATATTACAAAAATTTAAAGAAAATAAAAAACAATGCAACGGGTCTCTCTTTTAGACCCTACTTTTCCGACGACAGGCTAATTATTTATTTCAAATTTTCCCTTTTGCGCAGATTTTTATCGATCGTTTAAAGTAAACCTCTCCATCACAAAGAAAAGTCGTGAATTTGAGCGCATCTTTCGAGCGAAAATCGAAAAAGAATTCGAATTTCTTTTATTTCGTGCGGCGTTCTATTGTCATTTACCAACTTCATGTCACTCGTAGTCTGTCATTACCGACATCACCACTTTTGACGATTATTTGTTGCGTCCTTGTGCATGCTGTGTATTTTTGTCTTGCATAATCGTTATTATCTTCTATAAGATGGTTGACAGTTACTAGCTGATAACGGACTATACCAATCGCAATTATCGTTGGCAGAGAGGGGAGCGTATATTCCAGTATACTCCAGTTCGTCTCTCATTTTTACGCTCGCGATTATCGTGCCGGCAAGCAGTGGCAAGTACCAACATGTCTCTCTGTCTTCTCGCCGCAAGTAATTTACACAATAATACGTTATGGTGTTTCAATTATAAGTATTTTCGACTTAAATCTTATGTATGTACAAGCACGATTTCACGGTTGGATTGATTCACATTGGTTATAAATGTTAGCTCGTGAGGTATACGCAGTACTTTTCGTCACGATGTCGCTGCGTCATGAAATCGCTCTGTTCGTCGCGATCTGCTGTTTGGGTATTAGATTCGAAAATATATTGACTTCTAGCAGTAAAAACATTCAACTTGACAATAATGGATTAACAATAATGTAACATAATATATCTACAAATGGCTATAAGCCTAGATTGAGACACCAGATATTGCAGCATTGATTTGTATTACATCTTTTGGTCTGTTCTCTTCAGCTGCACTGGTGCAATAAATTAGAGTGAGATAAAATATATTTGTCTCACTCTAACTTATAGCATCAGTGCAGCAGTGCAGCTAAAAAGAATAAACTTATTGATACTATCTTCCATATCAGGCCTATACTGGGATTCTGTAACTCGTTATTGGAGTTAACGACAGTTTCGTTATCGTTGCGCAGCTTTTCTACGGTATACAAAAGCTGCGCAACGATAACGAAACTGTCGTTAACTCCAATAACAAGTTACAGAATCCCAGTACTGGTCTTTGTAGCTGCACTGCTAAACTAGTGCAAAAAGTTAGAGTGAGAAAATGTACATTTGTCTCGCTCCAATTTGTTGCACCAATTCAGCAGTGTGGCTACAAAGAACAGATCTATTGTCGCAGTACAATTTGGTTGGCAATTATATCCAATAATTATCTTATCGCAGGAGCTTCAGCAGCAGTATCACAGGTAGGATCACGTCTACTGTCATCTATGGCTCAGGCTCTGCAAACTCACGAGGTCATACCAGATGTGGTAGACAAGGTGCCTGCTGATGTACTGAATGTCAGCTATCCCAACAATCTTACTGTGGAAATTGGAAAGGTACTTACTCCAACTCAAGTCAAAGATCAGCCTAACGTTCAATGGAGTGGCGAAGCCAATACATTTTACACCTTGTGCATGACTGGTAAGTAGCATTTGATATATTTACAACTGAAGGATTTGGACTAAAAATTTATATTTCATGAGATTTATGTTAACTCCACAATTGCAGAATATTTCAGCACTATAATGGAAACATAGTAAAGTCAGCTAAGTATTATATCATATTTGTGATACATTTAAAAATAATTTTTTAGCAATTTAAGAACCAAATATGCAGTATTGATAGTAAAATTTTAATTTTGGCAAAAATTAAGTAATATTGGTCATATGTACTTATAACTGAAGGATTTGGACTAGAAAATCTATACTTGAAATTTATGTTAATTTCACAATTGTAGGATACTTGAATGTTACAATGTAAACAAAGTAAAGTCAGTCATCAATTATGTGATATTTGTGATATATTTAAAAATGAAATTTTATAGTAATTTAAGAGCAAAATTTATAGTACATATAATAACATTTTAATTTTGGCAAAAATCAAGGAGAAGCTATTTAAACAAATATATTTGTATGTCTTGTTTCAATTTTATTTCTGTTATATAACATTGATATATTCAAACAGATCCTGATGCACCAAGCAGGAAGGAGCCCAAATTCCGCGAATGGCACCACTGGTTGGTCGGCAATATTCCTGGATCAGATGTGTCCAAGGGAGAGGTTCTGTCTGAATATGTTGGTTCTGGTCCTCCGCAAGGTACCGGTCTTCACCGATATGTATTCCTGTTGTACAAGCAATCCGGCAAGCTGACGTTTGACGAGAAGCGCTTGACCAATCGTAGCGGCGACAACCGTGGCAAATTTTCTATTAAAAACTTCGCTGCTAAGTATAAGCTCGGTGATCCGATTGCTGGTAACATGTATCAGGCAGAATGGGATGATTACGTGCCGATTCTCTACAAACAGCTTAGTGGTTAAGGATTTATATACAGAGAGAGTGTGTAATATAAATCCTTATTATATATTATTTATATATCTACAATTAAATATATATGTATAATGATGTATATCCAACAACTTGTTGAATAAATGCGTTTCAAGCATTCTTTTTAACACAATAATGTTCGTGTTTTTCACAATTAAAAAAGCAACAAGTATGCCAATTTTTTATCTTGACTCCATTTATCTATACAATTTGCTTTACAAATTAAAATAAAAATTCAGAAGACGAGGGCACGATGATGATTCTATCGTTTTTCACGGGTTTTAATGTGGTAAACAAAAAAATAAATGGCATACTATGGTATAAGTATTTTGTATATCATTCTTAAAGATATCACGTCAAATTTATAATTATTAGCTTTGATTTCATTAGCTTTGATTTTTTTATTATAAAAAAAGTGTCGTATCTGTTTAGAATTCTGGATTTCTTTGTATGTATCTAACAATAACTGCATTTTGCTAGATTAAATAAAATAAAAAAAAAAATGTAGATCAGAGGATTTTTTATTAGTGAAACTTGAATTTTTCTTTTTATCATTAGAACTTGTAGTAAATGAATCAATAGTTTCGTGACATTATAAGAGTTATAAAACAAGATAAATTTAAATTTTACTGAATGATGAAAATTTGCGTATAATTTACTTCAGAACTTACGAGACTTGAAGTTAGTCTTAATTGCGCGGCAAATATCACATATATGCTCTAGAGCTTTATTTGAATAAATTCATTGAGCTAATCTATAATCTGTGAAGTAACAAGGAAAATCATTACCAGCAAGTTTCCACTTACTTTTTTACTATATGTTTGTAAGAGATACACAGTATTGGAAAGGCTAACAGGATTGGCCTTGTCGAATATAAACTGGTGGGGATACCTAGCCATAAAACTTTCCATCTTTCTCACAAGTCTCGTTAATACTACCGTTGCAGTTGGCTGCAAACAGTGACACTCAAAATGAAGTATTTAATATCAGGTGCGTTACGTTATTTTTGTCTGTTATTGTGTCATTAGAATGATTTCATAGAGAAAACCATTAGTATCAATGAATGTCATCTTGATATCTCAGTGAATGGTATTTAATGATTTTCTTTAATTAATTCGCAATAACAATCCTCAGGAATCTTGCTCTGCGCGATTGGCTTCACCCTAGGTGATGTAGCATCGGAATTTAAAAAGGCGAAAATCGAGTCCGACATCATAGACAAAGCACCAATTGAAAAGATCGAGGTGCGTATTAAAAATGCATCGAAAATACACGGACACTTGTGCAGATAAATATTCAATTGAATTTTTACTCTTTTTGCACTACTCGTTTCCATGTAAACAACTTTTTATTATATAGGTAAAATATGGCAATAAAGTGGTCGATTTAGGTACCGAGCTGACGCCAACTGAAACCCATGAGATACCCGAGATACATTATAAACACGAGGGCGGAGTCCTGTATACGCTTGTTATGACAGGTAGATTTTAAATTATGACAGATGAGCGACTTAAATTGATAAATTGCTGACTCTTGAGGGATTTAAACTGATAATATTAGAAATATCTTAAAAACACTGGCGAGAATAAATCAATTTTGCTCTTAAATTGCTATAAAAAAATTCCACTCTTAAATATATTCCACTCATAAATATGGCATAATGCTCGATGACAAATTCGGATTTTCAAGTAAGCATACTATATTTTCTCGCATTGATGGTCTCGCTGTGTAAATCACAGGACAGTCAAACTATCCTCGATAACTTCAACTTTCACCGTCCCGCAAACCAGTTTTCTCTCCCGCAGCCGCTACTCGGCAACGCGCGAATTCATCGGCGTCTTTGATTGTCAAATTTAGAGTCATGCAAATGTATATCTCTCGGAATAAAGGACTATTTCCACGCAAATTCTTCGCGTGTCATCTTATTCCATTTTGCATTTTTATAGACCCCGACGTGCCGAGGAGAGGAGGATACAATCGAGAATTCCGCCATTGGCTCGTAGGAAATATACCTGAGGAAAATGTAGCCAAAGGTGAAATTTTGGCGGAGTACGTTGGCCCTGCGCCGCCTAAGAACACCGGCAAACACCGATACGTGTTTCTCGTCTATAAGCAGAATCAGGGTTCGATTACTTTCGACGAAAGAAGACTGAGCACTTGGTGAGCATAATTTATAGTTGCGTTGTATGAATCAACCGAATACTCGATAATGGTTCTTATCTTCTTCCATTATAGGGACGGAAATCAGCGGAAAAGGTTCTCCATAAAAAAGTTCGCAGAGAAATACAATCTGGAGGGTCCGATTGCTGGTAACTTTATGTTGGCAGAATATGACGATAACGTACCCGCTTATCATAAGCATTTGGGCTTCTGATCAAACCGTGAATTGATCCGAGCTAAATTTCTTCGGATATATAACATACATAAGTATATATAAGCTCTATATATTATTTGAAATCTCGTAAATATATCATTATCTTCTTGAGATTGTGTTGCAAGAATAGTATTTCACACTTTTATGTAATTAATTAATATGGAAAAAACACAAGTGAAATCGTTTAATCTTTATTAAACCTTTCTTCAGCACACTCACTGTGTCTGTCTAATAATGAAATTAACTTAGCAACGGTATTATATCTTTAAAGTCTCTGGTCCTTCGCTACAGAACTCTTTATCATGTCAGAAATGAGAAAATATGTGCTCAAAATTCTTACGTACTATTTCAAATAAAAAGATATTTATACAAAAGAATATTTGAGATTATTCGTTAGCAGGTTAAAATGTTCTAAAAACTATTTTTTTCTTTTTAACAATCAATAAATAGCCGTAAAATCAATGTGACATTCCACCTTTCTCTTTGTACCTTTCTAATGTATCTTTTTTTCTGTTCGGACATGACTTATGATTTCTTTTGGAGAATATCTTGGAATTATTTCCAAGGAACATTTAAAAGTAGGAATTGAAAAAGACTAAGAGAAAAATAAGGAACAGTTGATGTAGAAAGGTTATTAGAAGAAGAGAACAGTATGCCAAATAGCTATAAATATCCTCAGGGAAAGCTTAAAGATACCAAATATTTTGGTGATAGAATCACCAAATAAAAATATATACATATATCTTATTTCTTGATACTGTTACATTAATTTTACGGCTATTTATTGACTGTTAGAGTGAGAGGAATATATTTGGACTGTTTTATGAGTTTTCTGGATCAATTGTAAGTATCATTGTGTAAACATCATTATTTCAACGTATTTTGTAAGACGATTTTTAACATACATTTTCTCACTCTTCTGATGTCATAAATCAAGGCCGCGGCGAAGGAGATCAGAAGCTTTAACAATCTTGTCTCAACTCTTTCCTTATAAGAAAAATATTATACTGGCGAGAACAAACGAAATTCCTTACAAGTAAATGAGAGAGAAGCCAGCTCGTTTCATCGAGTTTTATATATTTTCTCGTTGGTTTTGTTATTATTATAAATATAAAAGGTACATGACATTCAATTACGTTCATATCCCCGAGGTCGTTACATGACGTTATATTGCGCCCTTCGAAGGCGTATCACTAGTAAAGTAGGTGTAAATCCTTAACTTTATGGTCTTATTTTCTACAATTGATTATTAAATACTTGCGGCTTCAAAGTGTTACGTTGATACACGTTGACTAGAATATAATGAGCGCGTTTCGCGGTCGATCGTCATCGATTATGACGTCACGCAGTCGAACGTGACTCTTAGAAAAGAGCAGATCATTACAAGAAGCTAGTCGGGGGAAAGCGGAAAATTCCATCATGAAACTGCAAAGTACAGAATACAGCCCTCTTGCTTTCATCTATGTAATTTTTGTTTATTCAATCACTTCACGCATTCGCGTTTCCGTCTCAGCATTGGAAATCAGATCAACGCTGACACGTTGTCTTACCGCTTTGGGTCGTAGGCCCTTAGAACATTGGTAATACATTAATTTAGACCAAATACTCATCTATCGCATTCTCACTCGTATTGTAAAAACATAGTGAGGAGGAAACGAGGACTTATTAGCAACGTTTCTCTATCACACTATTTTTTTTTTGTGGATTTAGCGCGATATTTCGAATAAGTAAATCACTTGTGCTTCTTTATCCGTTGAAACATCATTGGTAATAACGTTATTACATGCTTCGAGAGTTCACTAATCAAACTCTTCCCCATTCGCGCAAAAACCACTTTTCGTTAATTCATTTATATACCTTAATGTCTCTTCATTTTAATGTCTATTTCGCGTCGTCGCGATGGACACAGGATCCAGCGCAGAGCGAGATATGAACTAAATGCATCGTAAACAATACGTTTTCGAGATAGTACCGGCTTGAGAGGTCACTGTCGGGATCGCTTGATGTCTTCCTCTTCCATTTCGTCTACCTCGTGCGTGATGTTTCATTTGATCTCGACGAAACATCTATGATTACTGCTATTTCCGGCGAAAACCTCGCGGCAGTGACAGTGGTCTCACGATAACAATAGCTACAACGATCACGACCGTGGCTGGTGGTGACGTAATGACGTGTTCAGATCGAAATCTATTCATTGAAGGTGGAAAATTCTCCGATGGTCTCCTCGTCGCGGCGTATCCTCTTAAGCAAATACCTCAAAAAAGCCGTATCCTCGATTATCCGTGATGGATATTCTCTCTGACAATCGTTCGGTAACTGGCAACTTAATCGCACTACAATCAATCTGTAGTACGATGTACACGTAGGAACCAATCATTATCCACACTGTGAGTCTCAAGGCAGGAACAAATCCGGATACACAGTCATGTTCCAGCAGAGCTGATGATCTCGCACATCTCCCCAACCGCCGTTCCCCTTCCTCAGTTTTGTCTTTTTCGCTGTACCGGCGATCGTTAGCGTTAATTGCGTGGGAAACAGGTGACTGCGCGCCGCCTTCAACACGTTTTGAACCTTCGCTATCACTGCCGTCGATTCGCAGTTGTTCTTCTTATGGTGGACTCCACTGCGGAAATAATCATTAAGATAAATCGCAATTAGTGGCCAAATAACCTTATCGTGGAAACAAATTAATCAGTTAATAATTTACGCAAATAATTATTTCAAACGAGATATATAGAATTGATTTTGTTAAATATTTAGGGTTTTAATTGTGCTATATTTTTCTAATTTATGGGGAGGTTTTATTTTACTTATAACATTTTCTCAAAAGTAACTGATATATCGTTTAGTATCGTGACAGATTAGTTTTGCCCCAATTTGTGACAACCTTCAAGCAACCTTCTTATCGCGAGAATAAGAGAAATACATAAATTTATGAATAAAAAATAATAATCACAATATATTATTATAATAACACAGAATCATGAGTGTAACACTAATCTATTGCTGACTTAAACATGGTAATTTACAGGCTAATTACTCATATTTATACAATTTATTGATTAATTCCAGAGCGGCAAGTTATGATATCAATACTATTTCTTAACTCTATAATGAGTAAGGTTTATAAATTATATGTTCTTTTTAAGAAATAGAAATGTTTATATCATTTTATGTTATATTTATTCAAATTCTATGAGGACAAATAAATATTCTGATACCGATTAGTGATATATATGAATTAACTACGAAAATTACATATCTTTTTCTGCTTGTAAAATATTTTTCAACTTTCTCTCAACTTTGATACAATAATTTCGATCGCTTAAAGTTAAAAAATAACTGCACAGATCTAACAAATAGACTTGGGATCTTAATTGTAACTTTGAAAATGTTGGTGAATAATTATTCGAACTGTTCGAACTGTCGCTGTTGTTTATAAAATACGTTTATAAAATTATAATGATTCAGTAGTTATTATAACTTTTAATTGTGCTCGGAATATGTTATAACTGATAGTATATAAAATTTAGCGTAAGAATACATGTTTAGAATAAATATAAGCTCATATTAAGACTTCTGAATATTCATCGCGGAGCTCTTGATTGATGACGTCAAAAGCTAGAAAATGCAATGTCCAAACGCATTGTTGTGTGTCATTTCCAAATAAAAAAATATTTGTATAAAAGAACATTTCTGATCGCTTAAGCTTACTTATAAAATGTTCGAAAAATTATCCTTTTTCCTTAATACTCAGATATAGAAATAACTAAAATTACTATGGCAAACAACCTTCTTCTTTAATCTTTTTTCATGATGTTCATTTTACGGCTATTTACTGACTGTCAAGAAAAAAAGATAGTTTTCGGAATATTTTGCAAGCATGCTTAGATAGTCTGAAGTGTTCTTTCATACAAATATCTTTTTACTTGGAAATGGCACGCAAGAATTTTCAACGTGTCATTTCTTGCTTCAGATATCACAATCCGACATGGCCGTGGCGAGTATCCAGAAGCCTTAACTGATTTTTGCTCGGTTTCATCAACGTCAATTAGATCTTAATCTGAATTTAAACTGTCTTCAGGCAAAGGCTCAGATTAAGATTTATGATCTGTTTTTTTGTAGTGCTGAACTGGTGCACATTGATAAGTTAAAATAAGAAAAAATGTACTTATCTTACTCTAACTTATTGCGCTAGTTCAACAGTGCAGCTACGAAGAACAGATCACGAATCAACGTTTAAGGACGTTGATAAAATTGAGCCTTAGTAAAAAAAACTGATGAAATCATTACAGATTGGGATAACACAATCACTAATTGTGTCATTCAAAACTTGCATATGAAAAGTGAAGGAATGGTAAATTTTACGGTATCAGAAGCTCGACAGAACTTAAAATAGTGTGCGAAGAAAAGATCATCTTACCATTCTCCAATATGGAAGACTCTCGGTGCCCTCATCGTCATCGTGATCAACCCAGATTCGGCACGAGGTGCTATTCCGGCGCCCCGACTGGGCGGCAGGCAGGTTTGCGCGATGTACTGCAGACTCCAGTCCCAATTGTAGTCGTCGTACGAGCAAAACTGTGCTGCACATTTTCGCAGCTTGTTCCACGTGACGCGATTGAAGGCCATACCCATGTTATGCTTGCTGGATATCCACGGCGTTACCTCCGCCTGTTCCAACAGAACAAAGGTCACTCGCTTTATCGATTCCCCGACATAACAATCTTTCTTTTTCTTTCCTCTTTTCCCACCCCGTTCCCTCTCGCACTCTTTCGCTCTTTCTCTCTTTCTCGCTCTCTTTCTCACATTCTCTCTATAACTTTTATATCGTACAAAAAATCTACAGTAGGATATCGAAACTACGTGTACAACTGAAACTAAAGCGATCGGTTGAAACAAAGTCAGAATTTCTCAGTAGTAACATTTCTTAACTTGATTCCCGCTATTCGCAAATGGTAAAAGTCGCGATAAGATCATAGTTCGCGACTTTAGCCGTGCGTGCAGGTTACATTCGACCCTTTACCAATGCTCACGATAATAACGCTTGAGATCGCTTATATTATGACTTTGTATCGTGCATGTGTGTGACGTCAGTAGATAAGTAGGTAGGTGGTTGGATACATAAGGAAGTAGATATTTGGGAAAAAATAATTATATATGAATTTTGTCTT